CATTGATGTTTCTATCTCTCCCTCTCCCTTCCTCTCTGAAATCAATAAATATATATATATATATATATTTTAAAGTCATTTACTGGTTTCATTTGACTGTTTTTTTAACAATCTTAGTGATAAAGGTTGATGTTTATTTATTTTTAAAAAATATATTTTGCTTTTTCTCCACCATCGAGGTGCGTGCGTTCCCTCCTCGTTCACCATGTCTTCCCACAAGACTTTCAGGATCAAGAGGTTCCTGGCCAAGACACAAAAGCAGAATCGGCCCGTCCCCAATGGATTCAGATGAAAACTGATAATAAAATCAGGTACAACTCGGAGAGGAGACATTGGAGAAGAACCAAACTGGGCCTAGGAGAAATCACACGTGAGAGATGACTCACGTATTTATGCTGTATCCAGGTTGCCTACACCCTTAAATGATTGACAAGATGCTACTGTCTGGAGGACAGTTGGATTTTAATTGGAAGATTAATGGACTTGTGATTTTGCTCTATTGATTTTTTTCCCCTGCAATAGTAGGTTGGTTCAGTAATAATTGTGTGAGACCTTTTAAAAAATAACAAATAAAAAATATATATGTATTGATTTCAGAGAGGAAGGGAGAGGGAGAGATGGAAACATCAATGATGAGAAGAATCACTGAGTGGCTGCCACGCTGTGGCCACCACCAGACGTCTCCGCAGAAGGAGCCACGCGTACAGTTATATCAGGGACCACAAGAGAAGGAACCTGCTTGTAGCACAGAGCTCCTGCAGCCCTCAGCTCCGAGCCAAAATGCCCACCTGAAAAGCCAGAGAGGAGAGGGGAGGGGAAGGGAGGGGAGGGAGAGGAGGGAAGGGGAAGGGAGGGGAAGGGGAGGGAGGGGAGGGTCAACAGGGACTCTTAGTCAGGGGTCAGCAGCCATGGGCTCTGGCCTCCACTCGGTCCCTAGCGAGCTTTGTGACCGTGGACAAGTCACTTCCCTATCTGGGCCTCAGTTTCCACCGCTGGACAACAGAAGAGGTGGATGTGATGCTCATGAAGGGATTTCCAGGGTGGCCTTTTCCTACCACAAGCTGGGGCCCATCCAGTGGCAGCTGGTGACCAGAGAGGAAACGCTCAGGGCCAGGTGCCCAGGTAGCTGAAGTGAGGGCCACACAGGTCGGGGAGGAGGAGTCGGCTCAAGAGACACACAGATGGGAATGTAGATATTGCTTCCAACCTCCAGTCAGCCGGCAGGGAGGGCAGGGGTGGGGGGTGGGGGGGGACAGCAGTACTGGACACTTCAAATGCCCGCTGGTGTCCTGAGGGCTGCCGGGGGCCAGTCTTCCCACACTGTCACTATTCAGCTATGACGGGACCTTAGGCAAGTCACCTCACCTCTCCATCTCAGGTTCCTCATCTGTAAAATAGAGGTATTCATGGTCATACCTTCGAGGCACAGAATTGTTCTGAAAAGTTCATGGCCTGCGTAGACGAGTGGGTGGCCTGCTTCTTGGAGCCTCGGTGTTTCTGCCCTGGTCCCTCCCTACACAGCTGCATCAGCAAGGGCCCAAGGCCACATTCCA